TACCTCAGATTGTAGAACCTTTGTCAGTGTCAGCCATGTGGATGAGTCACGGCCAATGCTTGGCCAATGTGCTCTCTGTGAAAGCCTGAGAGAATTTGTCTTAATTTATTTTTTAATCACTTTTTAATTTTTTGTTTGGTACAGAATCTCACACCTGGCTCTGACTCATAGTGATCCTCCTGTCTCAGCCTCCCCAGCACTGGGATTACAGGCGTACACCATCGTGCCCAGTCTTGTGGCCGATGGCATGGCATGAAGTACTGGCGATCAAACGCTGGTGCTTATGCTTATCACGCAGGTACTTAAGACTACCAAGCTATCTCCCCAGCCCCAATAATTTATATCTATAAGAAGTACTGTCCTATTATGAAATGAAACTGAGAAAAAAGTGATCAGAGTACCATAGGGCAACCAATGTCCTAGTTTCTGAAAATCCTTCACAAAATCCTATCAAAAGGATAGATTCAGGGTCAGGGAGGTAACTTGGCAGTCTAAGCACTTCCCTGACAAGTGCAAGGAGCCAGGTTCAATCCCTGGTACTGCATGCTGTGCCAGCCCCAGGAACACTGGGTGCACCATGCTGGCCACCGAAACCCGGCATGGTCGCGTACACCAAAATCCCAGAGCTGAGGAGGCTGAGACAGGAGGATCATTACACGTCTGAGATGCATAGCGAGACCTTGTATCAAATAAATAAAAATGAATTTTTTTTAAAGGATAGATTAAATTAATATTTCAAGGTTTGGTTCCTTAATATTTTTTCTTTTTATCAGCTTCCAGTTTAAGCTTAACTTCTTTCCCTGTAAGAGCTCCAAGTTTCTTTTTTTTTTTTCTTTTCAAAGTTTTATTGATAAACATATAGCAATGAGACAGTTTCAAATCAAATCGAAAGTACAGCTTCAACAAATAATACACTGCATATATTCTTCTTAGTGGTTAATTGCTGTACAAGATGCAGACTTGTGATCCTACTTACAAACACCATTAGAAAAAATCATTCTATTCATTAAGAGAATGCAACTATATATCTATCTCAACCACTTTGCATACACAGATACAAAATGGACATTCATAGTTATACCCCAATTTTTTTTAAGTTCCGTTGTTGAATATTATAGGTATGTAAACTCAGCAAAATATTCTAAAAGAGTACAGAAGCCCATAATAGCATTGGGTCTTCTGTTTAATTGGCAAGAGCTCCAAGTTTCTTATTCTTTGCTTTCTTAACTTTTTCCTTAATGGTAGCCACAAGAATTTTAGTTTCAGTGAAAGCTTCCTTAAGTTTTGCAACTGCCTTGTCTTTAGGTAAAATAAATGCTTTCTTTCCTCTTGTTTCTTACTGAGAGCTTTACTTACTTAGCTTTACTGCTTCCACTTTCTGTGTCATTTCTTCTGGTTTGCCTTAAAAAGGTATTTACCCCTAGCCAATTCTTTGTCAGTCTGACTTTCTGGGTGTGGTGATGGGAATGGTGTATACTATTTCTTATGTTTTCTTCTTTGATTCTTGGTGCACATTTTTGTGTTTGAACTGTGGCAAAAATATTGCCCAATTTTTTTTTCTTTTTTTTTTTGGCAGAACCAGGGACTGAACTCAGGCCCTTGTGCTTGCAATGGAAGCGCTTATTCCACTGAGCTATCTCTTTGGCCCCCCAATTCAATTTATTTATTTTTTATTTATTTATTTTTTTTCAAAGTTTTATTGATAAACAGCAATGAGACAGTTTCAAATCAAATCGGAAGTACAGTTTCAACAAATAATACACTGCATATATTCCCCCAATTCAATTTAGAATAATCATATTTCAAGTACTTCACAGCCACAGTTAGGGCTTAATTTTTTTTTTTTTTTTTTTTTGAACCAGGGATTGAACTCAGGCCGTTGCACTTGCCAGGGAAGTGCTTATTCCACTGAGCCATCTCCCCGGCCCAAGGGCTTAATTTTTATAATATATGGAATACCAGTTTATCCAAAAAGCATTATCAATATATCTATACCCATTCTTTTAAACACTCATTTTTTCTAGAACAAAGCAAAATAATTTAATGATTAGTAAGCAGTAATATGTAGGAAGTTTAATTTTTAAAGCAATACACATTCACTTCCTATGTAACATAACCAATTAACCACTGTTCTAATTATTTTGTGACTAAAGTTGACATATTAAATAAACTCAGAAAAAAATAAAACTTAAAAAGAATAAAGTCAGAATTCTCTCTCCCGCACCTCTCTATCTCTTCCTCCCCCCCTCGCTCTGTCTGTCTGTCTGTCTGTCTGTCTGTCTGTCTGTCTGTCTGTCTTTTGGTGTTGAGACAGATCTCACCATATTCCAGGCTGGCCTTAAATTCACTCTGTAGCCCAGGCTAGCCTCAAACCTGTAACAATCTTCTTGCCTCAGCATCCTGAGTGCTGGGAGCACAGGTGCGTACCACCGTGCATAGCCATATTCTTAAATTTAGAACTGTTTATAACTTTGCAAGAGTATCCCTGTGTGCCTGATAATGAAGCTGATCCGAATGTTCTCTCTGAAAACATGCAAATTCCAGAAGAGTTGGTGAGTTACGATTTACCTATCTTCCTTTTATTATTAATGAACCCAATTTAGTATTTTGGGACAGAACTATCAGATGAGTAAGGGTGGACAGAAATATAAATAAAACAAGATAGAGAAGGATCACATCCTATGACAGAATAGGACCATCTCTTTCAACATTTCGAAAAGCTTAGTAAGAATCTGTTTTCAAAACCCAGGCTTTGGCAGCTCATGCCTGTAATTCTACTGCTTGGAAGGCTGAAGCAGGAATGCCACGAGTTTAAGACCAGCCTGTGCTACATCGTGAATCCAAGGCCAGCCTAGAACACACAGCGACATCCTGTCTCAACAAAACGAAACAAAAAACAGAAAATCTATTTCCATGACTATTAAATTAACTGTAGAGCCTCACCTACAGAGCTTACCCATTACCTGAGTAATCCACAATGTGCGTTGGAACTCTCTCTGGGGTGACATCAGCTGGAATGGTGATTTCTTCTGCCCGAGGGGGAACCTTTATTTACAAACACAGAAGAAGAAATATCTGGATATCTCCAATCAAACTTGTTAAGAGGTCGTGCAAATTTATCTATATCAGCCCATTCACCCACAACTGTCCTTATAGTATTTGCTTTTATTTTTTGTGCAATTTTGTTTGCATCATACTTGCTATACTTTTAAATGCTTATTTTTGTGTTCTAATACACATTAAACTTACATAATAAAAACCTTTCTTAAAACAATAAATAAAAACAAAAATATTTTTCTCTCTTTAAAAACATGTACCTTTCTACCCATGTAGGCAGAGTACACATTAAAGATACTTCAGGTTTACCACAACCTAAAACAATTCTTATTTTTATTTGGTGCTTCAAACATTAGATTTTTAAAACATGTTGTTTTTCTTCTGTCTTCTTCAAAGCTTAAGGTATTCTAGAAACGAGGGGTCATGTTAATCCAAAACACTCTTCTAGGGCTGGAAGCATACGCTAGTTTTATAGCACTTGCCTAGCATGTGCAGCCCCTGGACTAAATTCCAGCACCTCAAAAACTCACGAACAAGGGCCGGGCAGATGGCTCAGTGGAATAAGCACTTCCCTGTCAAGCGCAAGGCCCTGAGTTCAAACCTCGGTTCTACCAAAAAACAAAAAAAAACAAAAACAAAAAAACAAAACTCACAAACAAAACAAAATTTCAAATAAGCCAATAAATTATCAAAATTACTTTCTTCTACAAGACAACCATATGGATACATTAACCTTATGTTTAATAACTATTTCCCAGGACGAGTACATTTTTTGATTAAAAGCCCCCTGTCAAGAGTGGTGGCACATGCGTATAATCCCAGTACTCAGGAGATTGAGGCAGAAGGATCCCTGAGTTCAAGGCAAACTTGCTACATAGTGAGACCCTGTCTCAACATCTCCCTTAAAAAAAAACATTATCCACACTAAAGAAGCTATACTGAAAAAAATTTAATTTAATTTATTTACTTTATATATTTGTTATAGGGTCTCACTCTGTAGTTCGGACTTCTAGTGATCCTCCTGTTTTAAGCCTCCCAGCACTGGGATTACAGGAATGCGCCACCATTCCTGGTCTCTGTGGCCAGTTTAGCGTGCCCAGGGGTGAGACAAGCACAGCATGTGATGCCGGGGTTCAAGCTCAGGTCCCGGTGCTTTCCTAAGCAGGCGCTTAGTCTGTTGAGCTATCTTGCTGGCCCTGAAACAATTTTAAGCTAAGTTAAAATATTGTAGAAAACTGTTAGGTATCATAACTCCAGTGATTATAAATTAATATTGATGATTCCACCCATTTATGAACTGGTACTTCATTTTGCAACTTAAGTAAGTGTTCTTTTAACTATCTTATTTAAGGGGAAAGAAGGCCAGAGAAACAATGGAGTATGATTATATGGTAGTTGTCAACATTGAAAATACTACCATAAAAAAAAACTATCAGTGGTAAAGCACATTTTCTATGTGTAAGACCCTGCGTTCAATTTCCAGCACCAAAACAAAATCAAAAATACAAAAGCAAAACAAAACACTACCACATGACACCAAATTTCTGAATGAATGATGAAATTATACAGATATTCCTATCTAAATAAAAGTAAAGAGAAGGCACATGCAAGTAGGATATGGAGGTGCATACTTGTAAACCCAGCACTCAGGAGCCTGAGGCAGGAGGACTACCACAAGTGTAAATCCAGCCTGGGCTGCATAATCAGCCTTATCTACAAAGTAAGACACTGTCTCAGGAAGAAAGAGAGAAGAAAATACATATCATTTTCATCCACTGTATATTAACCATAGTCCCCATAATACCCTAAATTTAAGTAAAGACTCATTCAGTGAGCATCCCCTCATGCTGCATTTTATTTATTTTCTTGCTTTCTTTTTTTAATGTATTTAGTACAGTGTATAGAGACTCTCACTACACAGATCAGATTCGTAGTGATCCTCCTGTTTTTCAGCCTTCCAAGCACTGGGATTACAGGCATGCGCCACCACGCCCAGTCTCATCACTGTCTCAGTGCACCCCGGGGGCAGGACCAACATGGCAGGCTGGAAATTCAACCCCGGTCCCTGCGTCTGCCTAAGCAGGGGCTTTAATCCACTGAGCTATCTGGTGGGCTCGCTCGCTTGCTTTCTCTGTCTGTCTGTCTGTCTGTCTGTCTCTCTCTCTCTCTCTCT